ACGAGTGCCAGCCTCTGCACCAGGTACCAGAAATCTAGATCTCATTTGCAAGGGTCCTTGCAGGAATGTCATCAGGTTCACAGGTGCAAGGCCAGCTTTTGGTTTTGTCTCCTTCATGGTTTCAGCACCTATTTAAAAGCTTTTCTCTTTTCCACAAACCTTGACCACTCCCTCCAGTCTCACCAGGAAACTTCACTTCCTACCACACAGGAAAAACAAAAGTCGTCAGATTAGAACGACCTCTACTTCCGGCCAACAGACCTGCATCTCTCCCTGTATGGTCCCCTGCTTGGCTGTCTCATCCAGGCTGGCTACAGAGGTGACCTCTGAATTATACTAACCTCAGCTGGGCTTGCCTTCCCTGGACTGCTGCCTCCCTCCCTGGGACCTTTCTGTACAGAGTCATACCCACCTCTACGGAGCAGCCTTACCATCAGCCTCTCCTTTCAGCCAGTTAAGTCTCAAGCTTCTCCCAAGACTAAAGAAAGATGCAACATTCTTACTCAGATTTCCCTAAGCCCCACACTCTCCCCACCTCACAGCCAAACTTCTGGGCTCTGCCACGTCCTGTCTCCGCTTGCCTCTCTCCCACCCAACCCTCAGCTGCTCCAGCTTCTATGCTCACCACCCTCAAACTACTCTCCCCAAAGCTCCTAGTGACTTCTGGTCAGTCCCCAGCTCTCCACACCCAACACATGCTTTCCAACAGCTTCCCTGACTGCACCCTGAGCTGTCATGGACGACCATTTGTAAGCAGACGACTGCCACCTGTTCTCTGCCCCAGATAGCCCTTGTGTCTAGACCTTCCACTCCCTCCCCACATCAGGGCTTCTTGTGGCTGTCCAAAAGGGCTCCTGGTCCCAACCGTGGCTGATCTCCCTCTCCCACACTGCTCCAGAGCTTGCTCTCTCTCTTTCAGTAAAGACACCTTTCTACCCTGCCGCTGTCACCAGGAGACTGGCATCATTCCTGGCAATATCTCCTCTCCTTCCCCATATCCAGTGAGACCACACAGATACATTCTGCCTGCTGCTCTCCAGCCCTGCCCACCCTCACCTAATGAGAAAGTAACCGTTCATCTGCATCTAGTCAGCCTGCAAGCCTCTGTTCTCCGTTGGCCTGGGAGGCACAGCAAGCTTTCCAAGGTGGCCCCACAGGTATGTGCCCCGTCTCCCCTTTCAGAACCCTAACAGCATGAGAGCAGAAGAGGAGCCTTGGGGATCCTTCCCAGCTTTGCCCACCCACCTGCCAATACCCACCAGGGCTGAGGGTCTCCCTGACAGAAGTCTCTGAGCACAGCCTGGCTGCTATACCCCATTGGCCTCCGTAAGGGAGGACGCAGAGGCCAAGCAGTGGCTCTGGGACGGTTAACCTCATCCTGGTCTGGCTCCCGTTGAAGCCAGCTGAGGGAACTGCTCTGCTCCTGCTGAGCAAGCTAGAGCTGCTGTTTTGCTCCCCAAATCCATCTGGTTTCTCCTGCGAGGTCCTTGTGTTAGCTCCCTGCCAAGCTGTACTCTTCCTCAAAGCTGCAACCTGCTCTACCCACAAGTCTTCCTGAGGACTAGACTCCTGTCCCAGAGCCTGGGGCACTGGCCTCTGACGCTGCTGCCCATGGCTCATGCCCACTCATCCCCACCGTACCCTGCCTACTGCGGCTCCCTGCCCTGGCCCAAGGTCCACTTGGTCAAGAGGCTGCAAAGTGACAAAAAACAGGATACTTTTAATGATGCTCTGCCCTGGCACCATCACCTGGAAGTTCTTGTCTGTTTTTAATATAAATTCAAGAGCCTTTAAAAGGCTAGGCACACATTTTCCAGCTCACAGAGATTCCCCCATCGCTAGTGCTATTAAACATGTGGAAAAAAAAAACTAGCTTTACTTAATACCTACCAGGCACTAGGCCTGCATATATATTGGCTCGTCTAATCCTTCCAGCAACCCCAGTAAGAGACATTACCACATCTGTTCACCAGTGAATCCTAGCACTTCTGGAAGTTGGGCAATCTGCCTGGACCATGCAACTACAAGCAAGTCATAAATTCACACTGGAACTCCCACCCTCCAGACTCTGAGGCCCATGTGATTTTTTACTCTTGCATTGATCAGGCCATGTATTAAGGAGGTGCTCAGCAGCAGTGTGGAGAAGGGAACACAGAGGGATCCGAGGCAGGAAATGAGTGAATGGGTCATTCGGGTCATCCAGGAAGGGGGCTGAGAAGCTCTGAATAAACTGAATCAGTTCTGGCCGGGGCAGACATGACTAAAAGGACTTAGGAACAGCAGTGACCTCTATAAGCAGCTGAGGAAGAGGTAGCTTGGGACCAGTGCCAGGAGCTTAAAGAACTCCTGAAATATCACAAATCTAAGTGGCCAAAAATAGAGATGAATAAGAAAAAGAAACTGAATGAGTCTTTTCTTCTGCCTATGCACTTACAGGAGGCCCCCAAATAAGAGTGTGGACTTAAGCTGGGAGTAACAGGTGCTGCAGGACAGGAGCCAGGAGTCAGGAAGCTGGCCTGTGGGTGTGGGTGTGTTCTTGGCCCCACTGGTACTTTCAGGGTAGATGAGGTGCTGGGGTCAAGCTGGGAATGCCAGTGGCAATTGTGGCAGCCCCCAAGGAGATGGTGGCAGCTGCTGTGCAGGCTGGCGACAGAGGATTAGCAGGCCCTGGGAGACCTCACCAGGCCATGGAAGCAGCAGGGCAGGTGCTGGCACCACAGGGGAAAAGGGCTCAAGGGCTGGCCCCCGCTTCCGGGAGGTTGCAGTGAAGGGGACAGGAGCGGGGATACGGAAGCACAGGGTGGAGCACAGGAGTCAGAGCCATGTGGGGAAGGGGCTGCGGGAAGAGGAGGAGAACAGAGGGAACTCCAAGGAGGGGGCTGACTCAGTGGAGGTGGAGAAGGTGCTCTTGGCTGGTTTGGAGAAGAGCACCTTTGCACAGCCGGAAGACAAGGCTGGGGAAATCCCCGGATGCTCCGAACTAGGGTAGAGGGAAGCGACAGAGCCCTGCTGTCCAGTAGGGAGGCACAGGGACCTGCTGAGAGTGGGTTGTAACCTTCCCCCCACAATCCCCAGGAGGGGGCCTGCACATCTGATGTGCACTGCAGTGTCTCTGCCGGGCACAGGCCATGCAGGTGCAGGGCTTTCGCTATAGCACTGTCTAAGCATGCACCACCACTGGCCTCCAGACGTCAATGTGCAAAGCGTGCATGTCATTGTCAGTGTCACTGTCAACAGAAACTGAGCTTCTCTGTCAGAATCGAGTGTTTTCACTTTCATCTCCATGGTCCTCCCCCATGCTTCCTCCTAAGACAGGGCTTGGCAGAGGCCCTCGGGGCCAAGGCTGCTGTCTGATCCCCAGACAAAAGCTCTTCTCCAAGCAACGCAACAAATGTGCTGGTCCAGCCCTGGGACACTGCTGTCCCCCCACAGGTACAGACCCCCACCTGCTACAGCTCCGCTGGGATCCACAGGGAAACCATCACTTGGGCAGAGAAGGCTCCTCAGGACGGGGTCTGCGCTGCCCCCACCCCATCTTTAACTCTAAAAACCCTGTAAGAACATCAGGCAGCTTCTCATGAGTGCTCTGCTCTGTCTCATCCCCCTGCTGCCCGAATCCTGTGCTGTTTAATGAAGATAGGGTGGGAAGAGCACTGAAAACGCAGTCAGAAGACTGGAGCGTGGGTCCTGCCCACCCCTAGGGGCTGAGATCTTTCTGCCCCTTTGTGCAACAAGGCAAAGTGGGAGAATGGCACCTGCCACCGGACAGGGACATGCTCTGTTGGAGGCAGTGAGGGGCAGATCCACTGGGCTGCTATGAGACATAGGCTAGCCTGTGTGGTGTTAATTCTCATTTCTGGGACCTAAGTAAGAGTTCCTGGCAGCTCTGTAAGTCCTACACAGCACATATTCCCCGGAGCTTGGAGCCAGGGGAGACACACCACAAAGACTTCAGTGAAATTCACAGACATCTATTCAAGCTGGCTCTAGGGCAGGGTCCAGGATACACACGGAGACAAACACAAGTCCTGCTCTGAGCTCGCTCAGCAGGCAGAGCTGACCCAGTGGCATCCGTGGGTGTGGCTGGGGCAACCCCAGCCCAACTTGCTCCGTGTGGCTGGAAACAGACCCTCTGGGTGCTATGGGCATCTTGGTTTCCCTGTGGGCTCCTCAGACCAAGGAGGAAGCGAGCAGATTTGCTCTCTGAGAAACTGGAGTGTTAATGCACAGCCTCAGCAGAGACCTGGAGCCCCATGCACCCTGGCAGAGCTCAGTGGTTATTTACACGCAGGGCTCCCCCTCACCATCTGAGAGGTGGGGGAGAACAATCCTGCTTTGGTGTGACTCACAAGGTGCCACTGAGGACCCAGTGAGAACAAAATGACAGGAGCATTGAGAAAGCACTTTGAAAAGGAAATAGCTCACAACAAGGAATTCCTTTTTCCTTCGAGATCCTCCCCTGGTCAGCGGGGACGATCAGAGAAGGTCGGCTTGCCTAAGTGCCTGGGAACTGGCTCTGGCAGCCAGCTGCCCACTCTGCAGATCATCTTCCTGGGGCCCCAGTCGCAGCTGGCACTTCCAGGGGCGACCCCAGCTCTCCCCCATTCATCCCGCCCCACTTGCCCACCCCACAGAGAGGAAACGGACCCACCCTTCCACCACCCCACAGGTCCCAGAGTCCAGCCCCCCTGGGAAAGTAACCTCATCATCACCTCCCTTTCTAGATGCCAGCTGGGACAGGAGACCTACCCTGCCTTTGCCTCGGACCCAGGGCGGGGCAGTCCAGGATGTGATAGCAAAGCACCCCCTAGATTTACAAGGACCAAGCCCGCTGTGAGTGGCTGGCGCGCGCCCCTCCCTCTCGCATCCACACCACCTCCTGCAGCAATTCCCGCCTCTCCCTGGAAGCAGAGAGAGCGGCCGGCGCGTTCGCACGACGGGCTCCCCGTGCCCGGAGCGGCCTGTGGTCTGCAGAGCGGCGGCCGCGGCTGGACAGTTACCTCGCGCAGCTCAGCGGGGCAGCCCAGGCGCTCAGCCGGCTCCTTCGCGTTTGCTTCTTCCAGGCTCTGGTCCGTGCGCGCCGCCCCGGAGAGCGGCGCCGCGCCGGCCCCTCCGACCTCGCGCGGCCCGGGA